AAAACCAATCCAAATGAAATTAAAATTTAATTCAATTTAATTATTTCAATTTAGAACAAATTAAAATTTAACCTTTTCTTCTAATGCAAGCTAAAAAATAATTAAATCTTAAAATTCTATGTGAAACTAAAAATTTTCCACTTTTAAATTTTCTAGCAATATCTTTAAAAGAATTTTAAACTTAAATAAATATATAAACTCATTTTAAATAAATTTAATTTTTTAAAATTAATATTATTCTATTCTTTTATTTATTTAACTTAATGAATATTAAAACTAGTCCAAAAACCAAAAACCAAAAACTAAATATTCAAATTAAAAAAAAAATCGGAGGACCGTTATTTTAAAACCAAACTAAATCAAAAGAGTTCAATTTAATAGTTAGTTTTTCTCCAAGAAAAAAATGAACACCCATAGGTGCTCCACGAAAAAATGATTTATCCAACGGTCACGTATAGCTCCACGAAATAGAATAATTTAGGGTCCTTTTGGAGCAGCTTATTGGGGTGCAGTTGCAGTATGGAAACGCCGCAGGCGTGTTTGAAAAACACGTTCAACCCAGCTTATTTGTGCTGCTCCGACGCACTTGGAAAATTTTGTTAATAGATGGAGAAGCGGGAAAGGGGTCACGTCCTGCGTCTGCTTCGCTCGTTAGGGTGAAGAATTCCTCCCGCGCCCCTCTCTGCTCCTCCTCGCCCTCGCCCTCCCCGATCTTAGCTCCTTCAACCTAGTGAAGGTCGACACAAATGAGGTAACATTCGACCCTCTACTCTCCCTTACCCTCATCCTCGTCATCCTCGATTATGAAGGAATTTTTAACGAAAACCTGTATTCTAGCCTCAAATGAGGCATATTTTCAACCCTTCACTTGGTCCTCACTACATTTTTCTGTAAATGCATCATCGTTTGTTTCAGAGGTTGGATGCAGTTATTACGGAATGTTGTCTGCTAGATCTGAATTTTCGAATGTTTTATATTTTTCCTTCTGCTGGTTTGGATGATAGATCTGAAACATTACTTTTCAATATTTTACTTGGGAATGTTGGAATAACTACTCATCAATTTGTTTGATCACACTTCACCAATTTTTTTTTTTTTAAGAAGAGGATCCACAGTGTTGGATTTAACTGATGTCACTGCAATTTGCCTACATTGAGGAAGGTGAATTAAGCCAAAGCAACAAATTTGCTTGTTCACACTTCACCTGTTATAGTTGTTTCTTATTGTTGTTCAGACAGAATATTTGGAAACTATTGTCATTTTGCCTGTTGCTATCATATTAAAGCTTTTTTTACTTCTAAGAATTGTTAGTTGAAAATGGGAAAGAATTTATTTTTCTTTTTCTGAATAATTCTGAAGGATTTTTATGCCAAAGAATGGTGCTTGCCCAAATAGGTCCATTAATCTTCTATTTAATTAGCTATTGGATTTATGACTTTCTTTTGATGTATATTCCAGAAATTTCTAAAGATGTTTTAGAACTTATTGTTAATCAATTAATGTTGCAGATCTACAATTACACTCTCTGGCCCCATCTCTTCGTCTTACAAGTAGTCCCTTTGGATGATAGATCTGAAACATTACTTTTCAATATTTTACTTGGGAATGTTGGAATAACTACTCATCAATTTGTTTGATCACACTTCACCAATTTTTTTTTTTTTAAGAAGAGGATCCACAGTGTTGGATTTAACTGATGTCACTGCAATTTGCCTACATTGAGGAAGGTGAATTAAGCCAAAGCAACAAATTTGCTTGTTCACACTTCACCTGTTATAGTTGTTTCTTATTGTTGTTCAGACAGAATATTTGGAAACTATTGTCATTTTGCCTGTTGCTATCATATTAAAGCTTTTTTTACTTCTAAGAATTGTTAGTTGAAAATGGGAAAGAATTTATTTTTCTTTTTCTGAATAATTCTGAAGGATTTTTATGCCAAAGAATGGTGCTTGCCCAAATAGGTCCATTAATCTTCTATTTAATTAGCTATTGGATTTATGACTTTCTTTTGATGTATATTCCAGAAATTTCTAAAGATGTTTTAGAACTTATTGTTAATCAATTAATGTTGCAGATCTACAATTACACTCTCTGGCCCCATCTCTTCGTCTTACAAGTAGTCCCTTTGTGATTCTAGGTGAGCATACTATGGAGTTAATATGTCAAAGCAAATCCTGTATATAAGGTCATATCCCATGTTATTTGAATTTGTTGGGAGTGTTCCTCAATCTCTTTGTAGAGAAAGGGACTGATGTCCTATAGAAAGGACTAGATTGGATGAATCTTTGAAGAGTTTCCAATTTTCCTTGTCAACTGTGGGAAAAAAGAGCAGCTAAAGATAATACGGGAATTGAAGAGAATAGATGATAGATGTGGTTAAACAAAATAACTGTTGAAACAAATTTTAATGGGGCATTTACATACTTAGCACTCAATTCCTATGCATTTTCCCCTATGCACTTACATATCAATTCCTATGCACTTACAAAATATAATGGGGCATTTACGTTCATACGACTCATTTGCTTACATGCTCTGTTTAATATTTGGTCCTGAGGCATTTGTTTACAAGCTCAAATTATCCATTTTCGCTGAATACTTCACCTCATGATGAAAATCTGAGTCGTTATATTGTGTATCTTGCAGTTTTCATCAAATCAATAGAAGCAATTATGAAATATCTTGCATTTGAAGTGAGTGGTGACACGGGCTTTTGATTTGTATTCTGAAAAATCCAGCATTCTGAGGCATTGTTGAATTAGTGAATGAACAAGGCATATGAATTTATTAATGGCACGGGCTTTTGATTTTTAACTGCTATAGATTGGCAGAACATTGTTTAATATTTGAGTAGTAACTTTCCTATTGCCAGAACATTACTGCTGATTTGGAACATATGAACCTTCCTATTGCCAGTACTCTTGAGATGCACAGTATTTGTGTTGAGGGAAGTACAAGTAGTCATTCACTTACTGAAGATCTTTAGATGAGTTTACTGTTGAGATGAGTTGTTAGACTCTTGAGATGTGGTATTGGTTGGGACTATGGATCTTTTTATATCTAATAATATCCAGTTTAGTCTGTTTTGATGTTGAAGCAAATAGTCATTATGTTTCTCATTCTTGAAAGAAGAATATTATTTCAAAAGCTTTGCAATTACTTCATTAATTGGCAATTACCTTCTGTTATTCTCTAGTTTAGTAGGGTGCAATTACTTTTATAATTCTCTAGTTTATGTTTATCATTGTAGAAACTATAATATTGTTGCAATTGCTTTGCAATTACTTTTTCAATGATTTCGTTGTAGTATGGATTTGTATTTTATGTTTTTATTAAGAATTTTGTTTGTTTCATTAAAATGTTTGAATCTATAATAATGGTGTTTGCACTTTGTTTTAAATTCTTTGTTTTGTTTTGTTTGTGTTTTTTTTTTGTTTTTTTTTTTTTTTTTTTTTTTTTTTTGTGCAAGGTCAGTGATGAATGATGGAAAATATGGTCTTATGAGTTCTTTTGGATGGCCGATTTGGTGTTCTTATCTAGTGTTGCATGTCTATTCCTAAAGAAGGCAACTGACATCCTCCATTGTTTTGGGTACATCGGCTTATGAGGACTTATCTGGATGGCCTTTTTTTGGTGATATACACATCTGGCACAGGATGATTGTATCATGTTGGTATTGCGTTTGGAATACTGAAGAAGGCAACTTAGGTCCTCTCTTCTTGTCAGTGCAGTGCAGCGGTATATGAGGATCTACTGGATGGCTTTTTTTGCTAATTTGCACATGTATCCCACGACGATCGTCTCCGTGGGTTGAAGGCAACAAAGAACTCATTTTTTGTGAGGTCCACTGTCTCCATTCAGTGACAGACACGTGGATTGGAGTAATTACTAGTATGTAATCGCACACTCACTTTTTTTTATGCCTATTTCAGTCGAATCGGTTTTCGTTTATTTTGGTTCTCTTGTTATTTTATAGAATGTAATTTAATTATCTAATTTGACAAATAATTTTCAATTTTTTTATCTCAATAGTAGCATGAGCTCTAAGATTTCAAAGACCTCCCGAGTTGTGTTTTGTTATTGCGAACTGCAGTCTCCCTTACGTCATGACAACATCATAGTACTGGGAGACAGTTCTACAGTTATCAGAGTGGTGTTGCAGCGCGATGCGGTTTATTCTGTTGGGCGGACATTCTATCATACTTCGTTGCTGACAGTGATTGTTGCACGATAATTTTCCAGGAGGACTGCAGCAAATGACAGACGACGTCAGAGTTTTAAACTAAACATTTAAATATTTTTAATTGTACTTGTAATTGTATTTCTCTTTATTTTATTTCTTCTGTTACTCACAAGATAGTGAACAGTGTATTCTATTTTTTTGAACTGATCTGTAACAGTTTGAGGCTTTTATTCTCTGTATTATTTCTTTCATGTAGTTCTGTTGAAAACAATTTCACCAAACAGGACCAAAATGGTCATTTATCTAACAACTATCAATAAATTATTCTGAATTAGCTCTCCCAAACAGCAAGTTAGTTTATTCTGATCTGTAACAGTTTGAGGCTTTTATTCTGTGCATTATTTCTTTCATGCAGTTCTATTGAAAACAATTTCACCAAACAGGACCAAAATGGTCATTTATCTAACAACTATCAATAAATTATTCTGATTTAGCTCTCCCAAACAGCAAGTTAGTTTATTCTGATGATCTGTAGATTATCAAATTATCAGAATAATTTGTTTATCAGTAAATGATAAATAATCAACCGCTGCCCTAAACAGACCCTTAGTTAAAATCCAATGAGTTGTTCCAAGGGATTATATTATAAAAGAAAAACGCTTTATACTGCCATTTCATCTCATAATACAAAACTTCAAATCTCACATCTTCATTTCTAGTCATATATTCGCCTCAACAATTTCACATGCATAAATCAGTCAAGAAAACAGTGAGAATTGAAACCAGATTCAACTATCTTGAACTGACACTGCTAAAATGGAAACCAAAATAAAGCAGAATGTTGAAACTGTACTCCAATAGCAGACCGCTCACACAACATTTGTTCAGTTTAACTAATTATTAATCACAACACTTCATGTGAATGTAACAAACCAACGACAAAATTGAACTGTATTTATATAACAGGAAAGGAGCCATACTTCACTCTTTACTGGGAAACTGAAGTCTGGAGCGGCAACGAAACCTCGACTCCTTCGGATTCTGAATTCCTCTCAGCAACAACTTTTGACATCCCAAACATCTGCAGAATAGAACGCAAAAAAAAATCAGAAGAAACATAAAAATTTTACAAACATATTTACCCAACTGATTATTAATACTTAAAACTGTTACCCACTTTCTTTATGGTCTTTTTAAAGCAAGATTTGTGTTCATCCATTGAAGCATGGATGAACTCGTCGATATGATCTCTGACGTCCTCCAAAAATGTTGCACTCTCAGACTTTTTCTTTCGACATGACATAAGGGCCGGATCAATAGCTTTGTTAGTTGCTGATTCTGCTTTCTGGGACTCCATGAAACTTTGAACTGTTTCTCGTTAGACAGCAACTGAAATTTTGTTAAAATATTATTAGAGCAATTTTTTTTTAACGAAAAACTAAATATTTAAACCATTGCAATCGTTATAGTTGCCTTTGAACAACTATAGACTCACCTCTAGCCCCTACTCTTAGTGCCGATTGTCCTCTTTGACATGAAAAAGGGTTACAATAGTGAAAGTTTTCTTTAAAAAAGTAAAGGTGCTGCCAATAAATGCAATCATTGTTTTGCTAAAAAACCAGTGAGTTATGCATTTCACACAGCTGATCTGATCCAGAATTGAAAGTGTGGAAAGCTTTTAAATTCAACAGAAACTTGAAGATTTTTTCCTTATGTCTATGTTTACTGGTTTCCCCTTAAAAACAAGTTTGTTAGTTGTTCTTGTACAATAATTGCTTAAAAAACAACTCAAGTGTTGTTTTTAAAGTTTTCCACATGGGCATCAGCTTCTGGGAATGATTTTAGTTCACATATAAAAAGAAATAGGTGGAGTGAATTTAGGTTAGTTCACATGATTCTCTTCAACTAACTTTCTCTCTCCTCTCTCCTAAGCAACAATTGATTGAATTTTAGATTTGCCATTTTGTATTTAAATGTCTGCCCAACTTATATTTGCCAATCAATCATTTCAAAACCATCACAAGAATAACTTTGTCTCCTGGATCACAACCCATTTTGGATCATTTGCTCCTGAGAAAGAGCTTTTTTCTACCATTGTTGCTTGAACTAATTCCGACATTTGTTTCTTCTTATATTCATGGTCTTCTGAGCAAATTAGGATTGTTAATACTCTTTCATTTGATGAAGATCAACAATTGAAGTGGAGTGCTTTCATTAGGGAAAGAGCAAAACCCATGAATAACTGACCATATATTTTCTCTTCCTTTGCAAGCACAAATTGTCTTCTTCTAAAGAATATAGCATCCATATCCTATAAATATGGGCTACCCAAATCACCAACTAAAAAGAAAGTTGTGCTTTTAACAAGAAAATATATATTGACCCTATTTAAGGATCTTTTATTCCCATGCTCTTCTCAAACTCTTATGAAAATGGAGAAATAAACCAGCAAAGTATATATATTTTCTCATTCTTACAAGCACAAATTTTGGCGTCAACTAAAGAATATAACATTCCTATTTTATAGACATGAATCACCCCATATAATATGTGACATATATCAAGTGCTACAACTTCAATCTCTACAAAAGCAAACCTAAGAAGCTGCTCAAATTAAAAAGTAAAATCAATACTTTCAAGAACAATTATAAACTAATTTTTAGGGCCTACCAAATCACCACAGCTACTCATTTTATCCCATTTGATCTGGCAAATTAACTCCTTTCTTTTTTAATCTCCAGGTCTTGCTCTTATTTTCCTTTTTTCTTCTTGTATTCATGGGCTTCTGACCAGCTTGAGATTGCTCATTTTCATACATTTGATGGAAGTCAGTAACAGAGATAGAACCTTTTGTGCTTATCATCATATAATTTGGTAGTCTTCTCCATCTCCTCTGAAAGTGATAATAAATTGACAAATTTTGAGCATGTTTTTCCTTTACATGCATGAGTGATGTCTTCTAAAGAATATAGCATCCCTATAATCTAGATATGATTTATATAATATAACATGACACATATTAAGTGAAACAACTTCAAAGACTACTTGATCAATAAAATCTCTAAATAAAGCAAACCAAGGACGATCTAATGACTTACAAATTCAAGAAATTCTTAAGATTGTGCCTTATCATTTTGTAGTAGCAGAGCTTTCAATCTTCTCCTTTGCAGTTGCCTGTAGTATTTTTTGTCCAATAAAAAGAATCGTGTTTTTTCCCTTAGAGGCAATAGATTTTATGGTAGCTTCAGCAACATCAACAACAAAAAGAAGGCTCAAGAATGTATGAAAATTTTCATAAAAAACTGAATATTACAAAATAGATTTTTCATTCAATGAAATTTCTGAAGTAATTGCCTACCATCGAAAATTTGTTACATTTTTTTTTTTTGGTCCCTTGAAAAATACAATCAAGCTTCATGTAACGCAAAAATAAAATAAAAACAGGTGTTAAATGCATGAACCTATGAGTTAGCTCAACCGCTCGGTAAATACTGCATTCCTTTACCATGATTGTACTTTGTTACATATTCTTGTATATTGGCTCATCATGTGCTACAGATTCTACCATGATTATACTTTGCTTCTTCAAATTTACAATCTTTTGACCTCTAATCATGCTAAAATGGAAAGTTCATAGTTCTTAGATTACAAATTCAATCACATTAAAATGTGAGAGAAAAACTTTAAACAAGTAAATATGATCTTTTTAAATAGACCATACTTATCGATGGTGAATGGATGCACCATAGCGCAACGAATTTCATGGAGTCATAGCGCAAGCTGAGAGGTGTGTGATTTTAAATATGATGCAAAATATTAAAAAATATTAAAAGAATATGAATAAATATGAAATAATATTAAATTGAAATATAAAATAAAATTATAATAAAAATAACAAAAATAATACCTAATGTCAAATGCTCGATGCCTCAATTACTTAAAATTCAAAACAGTATAATTTTTTGTAAGTCTAATTTTTCATAATGTGTCTGTATACCTGTGTGTCTGTGTCTGTGTCTGTGTGTGTGTGTGTGTGTGTGTGTGTTTTGTGTGTGTGTCCGTTCACTTAAAAAAAATTAGTATTAATGGTATTTTTGTGGTGATATTAAAATTTTGAGTGCAATAGAAAAAAAATTAAAGTTTAAATAATAGATAAGCAAATATAAAAAATTTAATTGTATGAAAGTAAATTTTCTTTTATTTTTCTAATATTAAACCTTAAAAATAAACTTAGCGAGCAATATAAGGGCAATGCACTATGCGCCATTATCAATACATGATGCAAATGACAGTCACTTTGGTGTGCCACGCCACATCATGCAAATGGCATCAAGGATTGTGTTGTGCCGTGACATGCGCCATGTCGTGTGCCATTTTGCAACATTGACATATATGCTATAGACCATGATAAATGTTGCAACGAGCTCAAACCAATTGTTATTACCTCAGCTTTGATTATTCCATTAAAAAAATGTCTAATTTTACTTCTAACCTAAAAATGAAGATCATGGATTAAACTTTAAATTCTGTAACTGTTGATGCATTCACAATGGCAAATTGGTTTCTTATATTGAATACAACAACTTTTATTTGGCCAAGTGATAGTGCAATAGATGCTAGTAGTGCTACCTTTAACAACAAAAGCTTCAAAGGTAGACATCATTATGAGCATTGGTTACTTTGTGTTGGTAATCTGATTAGTTATCCACTTGGCTATCTCTTATTTCATGTTGAGAAGATTCATAATCCTTAATTTAAACATGAAAAAAATTACATGTAAGTTAAAACTATGCCTTCCTTTTTTATTTATTTATTATTTATTATTTTATTTTTATATTTTTTGAGAGGGAAGGGGGGGGGGGGGGGGGCATTCATGCCGATTATGATTCTGATTTGGATTTGTGGAAAACGTTGCATCTAACGAGAGTTTATCTAAGATAAGAAATCAGGTTTACTACCATTTCCTTAAAACCAAGAAGTGTGATTGTTGTCCTTACTCATGGATTGCTGAAAAACAACAATGCCAGTGATATTCTTAGGTTTTCTGTAAAAGATAGCGCCAAGTAGTGATCAACTAGTAATTATTAATGAATCTTTGGCAACAATAAACGTTGGATGAGACAGCAAAGGCTAAAGGATTGGTTCAACCAATGATTGTGCTGCTGCAAACCCCGCAAAACCTTGAATGTTGGCCAACAATGACAGGCAAAGAAGAAAAAATAAAGGCAATATTTAATAGAGTTTTTTTTTCCAACTTCAAGCTTCATATTTTATAGGCTTCTTATTTATAAAAAGTAGGATCATATTCATATCTATCCATAATGCACAAATTAAGAATACTAATCCTAAATTTCCTACATTTCAAAATGAATTTAGCCGTCCATCAAAAATAATTTACTAATAGACACTTGATGGGTCAAACCTTACAATAAAGAGGATAAATATTCACGAGTGAATATAGTTTAGTTTCTTTGATTCTCAACAATTAAATTTATCTTCTCTCTCTCCGCCCTCCAAGCTGTCTGTTATTTAGTTTTTTTTATTCTCACCAATTTGTCCCTAAGGGACAAATTACAAAATTTTCAATAGTATGGATTAAATTGGAGCACTACAAAACTCTCAAATAAAATTGGTCACATTGGAATAATCAATGACCATTTTGGGATTTAACCCTTCGAAAAAATATTTGTGATGATGTCTTTTGAAGAAAAGATGTACTTTCCATTTCATTATAACAGGTTGGGGTTATATAGTTTGGCCTGGTTATAGAAGCTGGTTTGATTTAGTGAAAACATAAAATTCAAACCTATATTGGAGTTTTATTTTTATTTTTTTTTTCCTGTGTCTGATATTTTGATGTAGTTATCATATTAATTGAGGATATGTCAACTAATAGCTTAGTTTTGGGTCAATTTCAAAACTAAACTATTTGCTTCTAACGCGAACAAAATGCACTGCACATAGATTTTGGATGGTTTAATGTCACGTTAAATTTGCCAGACATATTTGATTATTTTATTATCATTTAAATTATAATTTTTGTATTTACTAATTTTCCTTCAAAGAAACATTTTTTTGACAATACCTAGTGGTATGCCATCTATGAATCAAATTTTTATTTGCTTAATCTACATTCAAAGCATCATTATGGTTATATTTAAATACCTAAACACTAAATTTGAATAAAAACTGGTATCAAAGCTTTACGTTATTACACGTCACTCAAAAGCAACGTTAATTATCATTATAACAAAATAGATCTTGAAAGGAGAGATATTAATTGTGAAAATTCACTTCACCTAGGAAGAGAGGAATCTCACTAAATCAAGAACAATTTCATTACTTAGGAGCTCAGTAAAAACTATGAGTAGAAACTGTCCTCAATTGCTCAATGCGAAGCTTGCAAACAAAAAACATGAGAGATGAAAGTAGGCACAGCATAGAGATACAAGTCTAAGTGGTTTAATCAGATTGATCTACATCCACTATAAAAAAAGAGAAAGAATTTTTTTTTAATAATGAAAGAAACTATAGTAAAGAAACTCTTATAAATCTCCCCAAACAATTATAACTTTTAATTTTACCTTAATATAAAAATACAATAATAATAAATGTAACAAAAAACTCTTAACAGTATCTTAAAAATACTGTACATGCATTCTCCTGCAGTTGCGTATTGTATTGAATGAGTGGTGATTTCCTCAAAAAATTTGATCGTTATTACTTATATTCATCTCATTTTAGAAATTCACCATGTTGATTAAAGTTCCCGAGAAGATCTAGCGTCACATCGAAACCAATATAATTTAGATAAGATTTTAATTTAGCATTGATTATGTAAATTATGGTCATAATGAAAGGTTCACCGTTCATCAATAACATATTTCTATGTTACAAGACCTATAATGTCTCCAATAATTAATGTTAATAAAATTGAATATGGATCCACAAAAGGTTGTAATAGTTGAGTTGTCTTCTTAAGATACTCAATGATCTTGAAAGAAATTGATATCCAAAGAGCTTCTATTGTAGGGAGAGATCATGGCATCTCAAAATTATCTCTACATAACCTTAAGCGACCTTCATGTTTGAAAAATTAGTAAGATTACAAAACTGATAAATCAATATGATAAAAGCATTAGCAACAACCTCCAAACAAACAATATCTCAATTTTGAATTCAGAAATATATATGATA